TGAGTTTTGTACATGAATTCAAATGACGTCAGTTTCGATCAACAGCGCCATCACGAGGAATACCAAGTAAATGCACCAGAGGTAGATCCCGTACCATTTGGTGACGCGAAACCTAGACAAAACCATTATTAACAGGGATGACGCTAGGCTTACACCTAGGGTGACGAAGAGCAAATATTGCATTGGACCACTGCCAAGCTGAAAATAAAGAAAACAATATTAACTTCAGTTTAAAATAAAAATAAAACCTCCTATGACGTTGGTATAATGGGTTATTTGGTAACTATAGTCTTACAGTGACTCGTGGTGATAACTAGGTGAGTCAAATCAAATGGGCAACTTTCTAAGTAATATAGTTAATTTAGTTGTTCAAATCACTTTGGGGGGCAAAATACTTGATAAGAACCGCCTCATATGCATTTTTTGCATATGATGTAACTCACAGAAAGTAGGCTAAAACAGATTTGTTAGAATTATAATCTTTTGGAGATAGTGCAGTTTATACGACTCTGTTGTTGAATAGTAAATTCTTGTAACGCTTACTGGATATACTCACCAGTAATTTGTCGCCCTTTCGTAAAGTACCAATAGTACATGATATGCCAAATCCTAGCATCAAATCTTAATACATTAATCAAGGGTGAAATCTACACAGTGCTATATTGGGAAGGTGATACACTACGATAAAGTCTTTCCATTTTCGACATTGTAAAATTCTTTTTGTGTTGGGGAGAAAAAACCCCTGAGAAATCTGATTTTGACAAGAAAATTCAGAAATTTATATGTCAGTTATTTCATACTACTAAATGAAGCTAATTTCGTATTTGGCATATTCTGATTGTTATACCATCGTCTGAATAGATCAGTATCCATGGCTCCCAGTTTCCATGGACATTTTAATAGTCTATACTATTGTATATGCAATCAATTGAGCTCTGTCCAGTTTATCCCAATTTAATTTTTAGTGTGTATTACCTGATTGTGTCGATAAATGGACTGCATATGTTATGTTATCACTACATGTACAGCATATGACCCTTTATGTAATGATACACACTTGCAATGTCGTATATGGTTTCATGTTTTATTATCTGGGATCGCTGTGCTATCTCCAGAACAATATTTTGGTCATTAAATTGTATTGTCAAGTTTCACATTTCTATTGCAATATCAGTAGCGTTTAGTGTTCAATCTCTGGGTAAATAGCAGTTTTTTTAAATAGTAAATTTCATTTCGTTTCGATATGTGTCTAAATTAACTGCATACAGGGCATATGTAATTTGTGCTGTTGTGCCATTACGAGAACGGCGTGACAGCAAATTTGTTGTATGTCTCTATGCGCATATATGAGAACGAAATATTTGTAATCATACTAACATGTGACTGTATCCAGAATTGATGTAAACTAGTCCGTCGTTCTGTCCAATGTGTCTATGTCTGCCACTCCCCTGTGTTGAATTCACTATTCAATTCAATTGTGTTGCATGGAAACACACAGTTAAATGTGCAATATACATAAGGACTGTCAGTATTTGAATTGCGTGTCAGAGATAAATATATCACTACCATTTTCTTGGGATTAATCTTACTATTGAAATATATGGAATAATTCTTGGTTGGATGTTAATTATGTCTAGATGTCTGAACACACATTATGTCCTCGAAGTATAATCTGAATCTCGCCACTGAAGAATACAAATTGTGAAATGAACTTTCTTTTGCTGCATCAATGCCAATTATGAATTGTTCTGAGTATTGCTGAATGAATGAATTGTATGTCAACTATCAAGAACAATAAACTTAAAACGACAAAAAAATAGCTTATTTATATTATTCTCCAACTTTCTGAACAATTTTGTTAATAAATATTGGCCTCATGTCTAATCAACTTTTTAAAAGTTTTGTGTTGACAATAATTTTTAGTTCAGTAATTTTAGTTATAAGAACATTTGTCACCTGATTTATTAATACCTGACGGTTGGGTCAACCGAATCTCTATTTGCGTTATAACTATATTATTTTTGCGTTGATGGCCTTGGACAATATTTGATTCTGAAACTCAAGTTGGACGGTTCGTGTTCGCAAATTGATTGACGTTCACGTACACTATCGAAACGTATACACATATTTTGTCATTGATTAAAAGGGCTTTTCTACCATACACAGAAAGTATGCACGAGAAATTGTCCCGATAAAGATAAATCTGAATTTTCTTGATAAATTTTCTTGATTAAGCAATAGTTATTTTTCATCCTTATTTAGAAATTCAATAGAACGCCATTTGATTTCCAATAATTCATTAAAGGGTACGCTAATACAAGCATGATGTTATCGTATTAGTGTGTTAGTGTATGTTTATCAATACATAAATTCAGCGAATATTCTTGCAAAGGATACTGAGTAGAGGACCTCCAACACAAGCTGATATTGACATGACTGGACGACCGGTTTTAGCATTTGCTATGTTAGTGAATAAATCTGATGATAATAAGAACAACAAGAAATAGTTTAGTTCCTTGCGTTATCGTCGACTTAAAATATCAAGGATGAAGTAACACTGTTTAAAACAGCATTTAAAACGAAATTGGTCAAGTATAATTACGTCAACTATATATCACAGTAAGAGATACTTACCGGCTATACTGTTATCTACTGACAGTTTTAATAATACAAGTATAATTACGTCATCTATATATCACAGTAAGAGATACTTACCGGCTATACTGTTATCTACTGACAGTTTTAATAATACAAGTATAATTACGTCATCTATATATCACAGTAAGAGACACTTACCGGCTATACTGTTATCTACTGACAGTTTTAATAATACAAATATAATTACGTCATCTATATATCACAGTAAGAGATACTTACCGGCTATACTGTTATCTACTGACAGTTTTAATAATACAAGTATAATTACGTCATCTATATATCACAGTAAGAGACACTTACCGGCAATACTGTTATCTACTGACAGTTTTAATAATACACGTATAATTACGTCATAAATATATATCACAGTAAGAAATACTTACCGGCTATACTGTTCCCCACGGTTAATAATAATATACCAATAACGTCGTCACTCAGACTAAATATTATACCTATTGTCTTAAAATATAGAAAATATAAATATGAATCTATAATTGGCGTGATATAATTGTAAATAAATACATATATAATATGTATTGTCAGTCATTTCTTAGGTATGGTATGTGCATCCGTCAGACGTAAAAAAGTTGTGAATTGGTTCTTACCATTAGTATGTTTATAAGTTCGTTAGCAATAACATAGATCCAAATGACGCCCACAAAGAATCCTATGTAAGCAAATACCTAGCAAATAATTAAAAATAATGAAGTCCTGATCAACCATGAGTTATTTTGAGGTTCATGGACTGGACAGAAATTATAAGAGTGTAGACTCGTGTTTTTTGAAAGTCGTGTACATAAAGATATATGACCTTTCACAAACATTTGCATTCAATTTGCACCTTGAATGGTGCATGACAAAATGTGACCCTCCCTCCTTCTAAGTGTAAGGATAGTACATTTATTAAAACTATATATACATATTAAATAATATTCTACTACACAGCTCAGAACTTACCTACTTCAATCAGTTAGCCCAGCTCTCATTGAGAAGAGCACAATGTACCACATTATGGTGATACATACACAATTTTACTGTCACCTTTATGAGTGTTGTGTGTTGAATACGAGATACACATGTTAAATACCACCATTAATTTTAATACTATATAGTCAACACTACGATTCAGCCAAATTGTATTGGTCTAACGAATTCTAGTAATAATTGCAAAAATATCGAGAAGCCTTTTTATCCAAAGCTTGTTGTCACACAGTATGAGAAAAAGAATCATATTCACCAAATCATCTTGAATCAGTGTGATGTTGAATGAAATAAGATATATGATTCAAAACTAACTTAAACAATAACCCTACCTATAAAAATTGCAACCCTCCCTTATATGCCTGCACAGATTAACCCTCCCCTCAACACCTACCTCTTGTCCGGTCCCTTGAAAGAACTTGTTTTACAGTCAAATTATCCATTACTTGGCAAGATAGATGTGATTGGTTGGCTAATTACTAGTGAATGACAGAGTGAATGACGTATTTGGTCCAAAATATCACATAACACTGAAACCAGCAAATTATTTAACGTTTTGTTTAGTAATATGTCTAGAATACAGATTAAAATATCGTACCCATTTGTCAAACAGTAACTTCAATATTACTAGGCTTAATATATATACGTACCCATTGGTAACAAGGAGGCACGTGGTTTGTTGACGTCACGAATACTATGAGAGCTAACAATGTCCCAACACATATCGTTATAAGCCACACTAAGACGTTATCACTGACAGAGCTGAGAACAACTAAAATGAAATAGAATTTTAGTTTCTTTATATTTCACTGGACAATGTAACAATTTTCTCTCTCAAAGAAAAGACAGTTTTTTTCTCTCCATCGTTTATTTTCTTCTCATTCTATCCCCACTAAAAGAAATATTGGTTCATGCTTTAGATTTATTTGGTGATGGGAACGTACCATAACTACGACTACGTCATGATGACATCATATGTATCAGCGAGTTGCAATAATTACCTTTCACAACGAAAACAAAAAACAATGATCCTGTGATACAATGCAAACTGTTGAGTAAGCGGTTCCAGTTATGTTTCTCTTTGCTGTAGTCAACGACCGGGGTTGTCAAGGTTACCACGAAGTTAATTGGAACCTGTAGTGTGAATAATGTGATGAGCACATACGTTTTAATATGTCTATTTCGTCGTGGTATTAAACAGTCAGTCAGAGCGCCACCACTTTACTCGTTCGAAAGCGCCTTTACGCGATCATAGTAATTTTCTATTACAAAAAAAACGTTCTCACCTTCATAATTGCGCATAATTTTGATAACAGGGATGTCTGCTTCCAGTGAATAATATCCACTGGACAAATAGTCAACAGAAACGATTTTATTAAACCTGTTTGAGATGTTGTCTCTCTGTGCAGATCGCCAGCTGTATACGAAAACAATGAATGGTATGAATATAACGCATTACAATTCCACCTGCAGAAGGTCAAAGTTGAGACCTCTTTATGAATATGGAAAGCTTGTATTATAGTTTACCGTGTTTACGGGAACCGATATAACAATATAATGAAATTTTATTAGAAGTCATCATTGTAACGCGTACTGTAATGTTTTCGACTGCAAACATCAAAATAACATTTTAAAATCGACATTCAAAATAAGTTGTAAAATATTCAGATTTTTGAAAGTTGTGATTATTATTATAATTAATACTGAGATCCTTACCCCCAAACTCTGGCGACATTATGTCTGCATCGAGGTTATTGTTGTCAATGCTTGTAATTTGCATATCCTTCAGATAAAAGTGACCCGCCTTCGAGGTCATGTGACTCTGAGCTCGTTCTCTGATTCTTAACTACGGTTGAAGCAATATGTCATCAATGAGTCAATTGAGATGAAAACAAATGAAAAGCTCATTTTGTGTTCATTTATGGGTTATGCTTACATGTTTATAGAATCGAGTTCTTATTAATGATTTGTTATACTTTCGAACGTACCAATCGATTTAGCAATGTGGCCTCGTTGTTGTGAATCCCGCAGCCTTTCAATCCATTCCATTAACCTCGGAGTCATGACGACAATAATGACGTAAACAGCATACAAACAAATAAATCCTAATTATTTGGTAAAAATTTGGCTATTTTAGATTAATCTCGGGAGTGTGTAATAGCAAAATTAAATTGGTAGCTTTTTAGGAGAACATGTCCCATATATGGTATATTTAAAATTTTCCTATTTTAGAAATATTAATAATATATTTATTATTTATATTGTCGTAATTTTGAGCATGGTAATAATAATAATTCTATAAGTGGGGAATTGATCAAAATATCATTATCCGTGGCACATCGACACGGATTATTGATAATAATGTTATCCCACATTTTGTAAAATGTATCTCGATTTATTTATTTTAGCATCTTCGTATTATCTGAAAACATCCGCTAATCTATGACCCAATAAAAGAGATCACACAACCAAATACAATTACTCTACTAATCTAAATGCAGTATCCCTAAAATGCAAGATTTACCATATATGTACTTTGAGCGATATCAGGAAAAAACTATGCAGTTGATTTTGCTATATTCATAAAAAATGGTATTCTACACAAAAAATCAATAGTAGCATTTCCCTGACAAGCCATTTCTCCAGCCTTGGCTCATTTCCTGAGTAATGGAAATACACTAACAGATAATAATAATGGGATATCACGATCAATTCATTGCACTCATGGTAAATTATTAGCGAATATTGTTGTATACCTATAGCTTCCTGTAGACTGATACCGCCGTCCCACACAACGTAATACATCCAGAAACATGCTCCCATGTATACAATAATATCACGTAGATACGCGATTTCAGTTTTGATACGAAAATTTGTTACCATAGCAATAGATCCAACAACTACAGTCGTAATAAATATTCCTGAACCTGAAACAAAAACAAATAGTGTTTGCATGGATAGATAAATCGTCTGTTTTCTTATAAATGCAAATACATTAAATGGTCCATCTGTAATGATAATCACTGTCATTTTCAATGCATCACTGAATCACTTCACTCCGTCTGTTATTCGTATTTAATAATCCGATTTTTATAATAATAAGTTCATAAATTAGAAATATAAGTTTCTTACCCAAAAGACCACCGACCGCGAGACGAATGCCACTAGTACCATTGCTCTTCACGGCAACAATTGCACAAAACACGTCAGGTGCTCCATTACCCAATGCAAGTAAAGTTACGCCTTAAAGTCATGGTTAAGTAACGAAACTCACGACAGTGGCGTTGTATTAATCTGCGTTAAATTAAACTGGGTTGTTTTATATTGCGTTGCGTTGTACTAAATTGCGCTGTGTGGCGTCTAGTATACATCGCAGGATATTTAATTATGCCGAGTATTGTTTGATTAGATATCACTTATAATATCACTTATAATATCACTTATAATATCACTTATAATATCACTTATAATATCACTTATAATATCGCTTATAATATCACTTATAATATCACTTAT